TTTCGAGTCTGCAACTTTACAAGTCCTGCTGACAACAATCTTTGCACCATTATGAGTCCCGCCATTTTCGGGACAGACCAATTTCCCACTGCAGGCGTGGCGTAACAATCCGTCTTTGAAAATGAATTGAAAATGTCTCTCTGAACACCTGCTACCGGTTACAAATATGATGGGGTCGTTGTCACGAGGGGAACAACTCTTGCTTGATGGAGTCAGACAAAAATCAAGGTTGTATGACTTCAACGGTGTAGGGGCAGTTGGATTTGCTGTAAAAACGAGCGTAAAGAAACACGTTAGAATAGAATGGTTATTTGACTTCCGGACCCATGTTTGCGCTATCTTTAGTCTTCCTATTTCAACTCAGAGGACATTGCACTGTTGATATTCATGGTTTACAGAACACGTCATGGCACAATGACCACAAGTGTCTGGTATATACTCAACAACGTTGAGTAGAATTGTAGCATATCATTACCTTCACCCGCAGAACATCCCATGAAGTCGGTTCTTAGACAAGGCCAGCCATGCCAGTATTGAGGATTGATACGAAGATATCGAGCGTTGACCATAGGGTTCAAGTCCCTTGCGACTACACCATAGAAGTTAGTGTTTCCATGTATAACCTTCAAATAATTTCAGAAAAAAAAATTAATGATTAACACAAGGACTTTCCGCAAAGAAATTAAAATGTAACTCGTAGGTGGCAAAATTTATCTTCACAACCCAAAGTATACAGACTCAGCGGTGCTCACCGGCTTTTAGTCAAGCGAGTTAGATTTACATGGATTTAAAAGAAAAACAGCAAAGAGAAGTAAAGGTAAATCTGTTTTTTTCATGCTATGAATTACTCGGTTTTTGTCCAAACCATTCTCGTGGAAATAAGCAAACGAGAAGAAAAATTGCAGAGGAAAGGAATCACATCGAAGACCGACGAGATTAAAGCAAAATTAAAGGTAAGTGACGAGTAGATGGTAGTATTCTTCGTTTGAAATGAGTGCTGGTCACCTAGTTATGCACATTACTGGTAAATTAATAATATTTAAAGGCAGAACTTAGCGGCACTTCTGTAAAAGTGAAAAACGTTTTGCACTATGTAACATGCTATCTCTCTGATCATGAGAAACGTACGGTTTTCGCCTGGCTGCATGGATATCCATTAATGATGTAAGTATCCTCAGGACACTGAAAGAGTGAGAGTGATCAACTGTGAAGCTTCTTAAGCTTGGCAATTAAACAACATTTGGATTTGCTCTTGAAGTAATCTAAAGTAACAATTCTTTTTTCGATATTAAAACCCAAACTATGTTAGACATGAGTGATACACTAAGACACTGACTCCTACGCTAGTGTACAAGTATTGTGATTTAAAAATTCACACACA